CTAGCAACACAAAAAAATCTGGGTTATATAAATGAAGTAAGAGTAATTCAAGGTGTATCTACAAGATGGAATTCCTCATTTTTAGCTTAAGAATGTCTTCTTTACTTAAGGATGCTATTGATCAATTAGCAATTAATTTAATATGTGATTAGGACAATAATATTAAAAAATATGGACATTGATTAAAAAATTTAACCTTTCTGATGAAGAATAGATTTTTATGGAAAATTTAGTTGATTTACTTAGTATATTAGAAGAAGCAATCACAATTTTAGGAGAAAGCAATTATGTTACACTTAGCTTAATGTATCTTACAATTTAGAATTAAAAAATCATTTTTCAAGTAATAATAACAATACCAAAAATATTGATCTTACAAATAATACATCTATTTTGGATAATGAAGAAGAAGAGAAAGATAATTTTGAAGAATCAGATAATAATATTGATGAGATAGTCAATCCTATTACATATTATCAAATTAATATTATTAACCTATTTCTACAGAAAGAATAATTAATCAGGTTAAATCTATAATTTCACAAGCTTTAAATAAATATTGGGATATACCTTCCAAAATTGGTCTTAAAGCTTTATACTTAGATCTGAAGTTTAAAAATTTATTATTTACTACAAGAAAAGAGAAACTTAAAATTGAAGAAATTCTTCAAGAGATAATTGAATCATCATCTCTAATAACTTTATCAGTTTCACTAAATGAAAATTTAAATACTAACAATATATATGATAATAATATAACTAATGGTAAATAAGTAATTAATTTTTTTTTAAAAAATGATAGCATATATTTTAACAATTTAATTTTTTATTAATTAGATGATTTAAGTGTAAAGTTGGTAAGCTATTTATTTCAGTACTATGACACATGAGTTTCGTTAAGGAGTTGGGTAAAGTTTGTAGGATAGTTATTGGAGTATTCGAGCAATCGAGTTCCGTTAAGGAGTTGGGTAATGTTGGTAAGCTATTTATTTTAGTGCCAAAACATCTGAGTATTGTTAAGGAGTTGGGTAAAGTTGGTAGGATAGTTATTGGAGTTTTAGAACAAACAAGTTCCGTTAACGAGTAGGATAAAGCTGGTAGGATAGTTATTGGAGTATAAGAGAGATCAAGTACAGTTAAGGAGTTGGGTAAAGTTGGTAAGCTATTTATTTTAGTAAAAGAGCATCCGAGTATAGTTAAGGAGTTGGATAAAGTCGGTAAGCTATTTATTTCAGTACTATGACACATGAGTTTCGTTAAGGAGTTGGGTAAAGTTGGTAAGCAGGTTATTTGAGTATTATAACAATAAAGTTCCGTTAAGGAGTTGGATAAAGTTGGTAAGCTATTTATTTCAGTACTATGACACATGAGTTTCGTTAAGGAGTTGGGTAAAGTTGGTAGGATAGTTATTGGAGTATTCGAGCAATCGAGTTCCGTTAAGGAGTTGGGTAATGTTGGTAAGCTATTTATGTTAGTCCAATTACATATGAGTTTCGTTAAGGAGTTGGGTAAGGTTGGTAGGATAGTTATTGGAGTATGAGAGAGTTCAAGTACCGTTAACGAGTTGGGTAAAGTTGGTAAGCTATTTATTTTAGTAAAAGAGCATCCGAGTATTGTTAAGGAGTTGGGTAATGTTGTTGGTAAGCTATTTATTTTGGTTAAAGAGCAATACAATGTCGTTAAAGAGTTGGGTAAAGTTGGTAAGCTATTTATTTTAGTGTGAATACACCTGAGTATTGTTAAGGAGTTGGGTAATGTTGGTAAGCAGGTTATAGGAATATTATTACATTCGAGCTCAGTTAAGGAGTTAGGTAAGGTTGGTAAGCTAGTAATTTTAATAAAATTGCAAAAGAGTTTAGTTAATTTGCGATATCTTTGTAATCCTCCTGAGGTATATAGTATGTCGTCCTTATTAAGTTCCGTAATCGTTAAACTAGTATCATCGAATTCTTCTATTTTCATTTTATCTAGTGAATTATTAATACTGACACTCTTAGAATAACGGTATTGTGGTGGTAATTGAAGGCTTGCTTCATCATCAACATTCATTTGTTTATTTCCTTTAACGTTTGATTTTGTAATAATTGAATTTAATTGATCAACTACTAGACTCATGTCCGGACGATTTTCTGGCTCAATATCCCAGCACTCTAGAATCATATAAAAATTTAACGACTGTGGAAATAAAATCTAGTTTTTTAATTAGATAATATATTTACCAGTATAAATGTTTACATAATCTTCAGATGTACCATGAATGATACTTTCTCTACGTCCTCGTAAAATTTCTATAGCTAAACTAATGTCATATTCTTCACCATCAACATGAAAAGGTGGATAACCGCTTGATAGTTCCCATAAGAGCACGCCAACACTGTAAACGTCACTCTTTTTGTTTAGTGTAAATTGTATCGATGCTTTGTCATTTTTTCTTGCTCTAAGAAACCTGTTTGGATCAATATAAGGAATTACACCAAATAATTTTGACTGATTAGTTGTCGCTTCAATCCTTTTTGATAAACCAAAGTATGCTAGTTTAATAACGCCTTGATGGATTAAAATATTGCCTGAATGCTATTAATATAAAGAAAAAAATATATTATTACTTATAAAAAGAAATGTTCATAATAAATAAATTTGACATTAGGACACCATACCAAATCACGATGTATAATTCCTTCGTCATGTAAACATGATACAGCACAAGCCAACTGGAATGCCAAGTTATATTTATCTCCCCAAGCAAGCTTATCAAAATTATCTTTCAAATAATTATTAAGCGCTCCACCATCAGCATATTCCATTACTAACCAATAATTTTTCAATTCATTTTGATTTTCTAAATTTTTTTTTTTAAAATTCAAATTTAAAAGTCAATATAAAACTATAACTAATCCATTATTTAAGACTTTATACCTTGGTTCGATGATGTAATTCCCAAAAAACGAATGATATTGCCATGAAAATCAACTTCTCGTTGAAGTTCAAGCTAGATTATTATAAAAATAATTTTAGCTTGAAATATAAACGATTTGCACTAAATGGATCAAAATAGACAGAAGCACATATTGTATATAAATTACCTCACGAACAAGTTCTTTAACAGCGGAATCGTTAAAATTATGAAATGATTTTAAAGCTAGATGTGAATTTTTCCAATTTGCACGATAGACTATTCCAAAGTTGGCTTTACCAATCTCTTTAAAATTACTAAATTGTTTATATTCGTAGTATTTGATACTTTTTCTTGAAATAGATTCTTCAATCCAATTAAACCACTCATTAGAATTGTTGGAAGATTGCATGTTAATTTAAAAAGTTTTGTTAAAATTCTTGGAGAAAAACAATATGCACAAGTAACGTTAATCAAATTTTTAAGCCACGCACGGCAATTTTAATGTATGACAGAATGATTTTTTTTTTGTACGTTTCACGAGATTTTCTGATCAAATTTTGCATTCACCACGATTTATAAATAATAAAGTAGCCTAATTTATAATATTATTGAGTAAAGATTTAATAAATTCCATTTCAGAATTTAGAAAGGTTGCAAGTTGAAGCTTTATATTTTCAGTCGAAACTTAAATTTGCATGCAATGATCATTTTATTAAACTTTCTATAGAATGTAGTTAAAATTTGTAATGACATATATTAGATTATCGATTGTTTGTACATCATGCACATTGCGAATCATATACGTTTATATCATTTTCATGTGTAGCGTAAATCTCTACAAAAAAAAAAAATACCAACGTTAGAAAATACTTATTTTAATTATTTTCGTTTAGAAATGTGCAAATTAAAAATAAAAAATTAAAAAAATTGAACAAAAAAAAAGTGGCTTATAATTTTAAATCTTATTTTCCTGATAAAAAAATTATGGTTGTACTATTTAGCAGTGGCAACTTTGATGTTTCTGTGGAAATAAATTTAATTTAACGTGATAGGTACATCTCTTAACATTACATTATTTAATAACTTTAACTTGAAAGCATTACAGTAACTTAATTCCTATTTAATATGGGTTGAATTATTTTATAAATCATGATAGTTTTAAAGATAATATCAGAACACGTACGTCTAAACCATCTAGTTAGGTTTAAAATACTCATAGTTTAGAATTAAATCTTTGAGGATGTAGGTAATTGAATTATCATATTTGGTTTACTATTTTTTAGGATCATTATAACCACGAAATTAAGAAATTAAAGGAAGAACCGTAAGTTTGGAATTCAAGATTGAAATTAATGTATTGACTGATTTCAGCTGCAAGATGATGTGAGTGAATTTTTATTCTTATTACAAAATTCAACTTTATTTGTATATGTTGTGTGTCAGATGTCGATTTGTAGTTGACATGCGTCAGATGACTAATGCTGGCCAAACCTTCTTAAGGCATTATAAGATCGGCCCAAAATAGGCTCATAATTTAGGCCAATAGTCATCTGAGGCTCAACATATATATCACAAGCGTTAAAGCGGTGCCATTAAATTTAATTTTCTCGATTGTAATTTGTAGTCGGAAATGAAGATCAGATGGAGCGTAGCAAAACTGACACAATTGATTAATAGGCTATTAATGATGTATTAATTATCAAAATTATGATTTAGAAATATTATCTGATCAATCACAGAAAAAGATCCCAAGCTGTCTTTCTGATAATTGGAACAAATAGGTATATTTATATTTTATATTTTAAACATTTAGTCGTTTTAAAACAAATATTACATTATTTATGAATTTTTAAACAGATCTCGTTGTCGAACTTTCACGTGATGTGAAAACATTTTCTTAGATTCAAAAAAAAATGAAAACGTCACAAAGTTGAGAATATGTAAATTTTGTAAGAGACTTATTCTATTATGTATGAGCGTAGATAGTTTTATCACATTCATACGCAAACACATTCAATGTACAATAAATGATATTCTTAAAAAACTTTGAATTAAAAAAAAAAATTCGAAAGTAAGAATAATTTTGTCATTCTAGATAGTCAAATCACACGGTTTGGATTTGATTAGACATTTTTGACGACTTTTTGACGACCTCTTCTGATTTTTTATCCGCGATGGTTCGGGAAAAAAGGACCATAATCAAGTAACATTTTAACAATAAACTAGATGGAGCACATAACATCGCCAAAATAAAACCGCTGTACGTATAAAATGCAAAACTTATACTTTTCAAATCATATTTTTCATCGAACGTTGCAAGATGGTTATAAACATCTTCGGCCCTTTCATTGATACCGATAACCTTTTTTTCACGATGTATAATAAGGAGATTTGTAATTGATTTCTTCATCGCGTACAAGATTAAGATAAAGTAAGGACATATGATGATCCATACGTCGTTACTGATGTAGTTAAATCTCTGAAAAGCGATTACGAAGAAAATCGTGTGAATTATCGTTTCGACCCAAGGTAGAAAACACGATTTCATGTATAAATATGACGCGGGAATGGGTTTTGGTATCAGTAATAATAAATCAAGCAAAACGGATGTTGTTAAAAGTATGGTGTATGTTATCAAGTATTGTATATAGAAGGTATCATTTGTTTTTTTGTGCATGTTAATCATGAACCAAATTCCCAAACCGTTGATGGTCAATTGACATGAAAGACAAATTGAACCAAGTTCCATTAAACAATTCTTTTTGTTCAAATTTAAATATATCAACATCGAAAGTAGTGCGGTAATTAGGGTATCGAATGAATCTTTAACTCTAAAATCATCATCTTCCAGAGCGAGTGATGATTGTATGAGGAGGGAAAAAGTTCCGAGTACTTTGACAATGTCATGGAACGACAAGTTTCTTTTCATTTTAATATCAAAAAAAAAAATGATACTTTTTTTACTGAAATTTTTAAAATCATTTCGTTTTATTCAGTAATATGCAAAGATTACAATAGTCTTCCTTTTTAGTTATTATAATCATGAAATTTAGGTAATATTACATCGCTTTTAGGATGTCTTGTGATTAAATAATCTTGATTTTATCATTTACAATGCATTATTCGTCCTGGGTACGCCACCAAAAACAGATAATCTATCAAATGCATACCACTCTCGGGAATTCCAAAAATGAAAATTAGAAGGGACGAAAAAAAAAAGATCAGATCCTTTCCAAATTTATTCACTATAATTTTTGATCACAAAAAATGAATTTTATATGCTTTTAGATGCTTAATGCCTTATAATGCATAAGCTTAAAAGTTTGTTTTCTTTTTCCAATCATGCAGAAATTTCGTAATTAGCACGTCATTTATTAAATTAATTTCAATGATCGGTTGGATTTTGTGTAACTATTACCGGAAGCAGATAATGATGACGAAACTTGCAAAAAAAACAGAAATGACGATTTTCCATGTTTAACATAATTAAACTTCGATAAACGTTTTGATCTAGAAGTTCAAATTTTAGCAATTAACCGATGACAATAGGCATGCAGGGGTAGATAGAAAACCGGAACGGTACTATTCGCCAGACCAGTACGGTACGATTATGCAGATCGGTAATTTTTGTGAAATTTGTCATCGTACCGTCCTATAATTATGGTATAATAAAATTCGTACCGTACTGTACTGGTACGATGTCAAATTTCGCATTTTTGTATTTTTTCTTTTTTTTTTTAAATTCCTTCCCAGTATATAAATATATATTTTAATTGATTTTTTTCTTGTTTTTCTTTATTTTATAATTTATTATATTCTTTTAAATTTCCCCCGGACTTTAATTTTATTTTTATTTTTTTTTAATTAATTTTACCGGACTTTTTATTTTATTTTTATTTTTTTTTTTAAATCTATTTTTTTATTATTATTTTATTCCCCTCCCACCGGACTTTTTATTTTTTTTTTAATCTTTTTTTTTCTTTTTTGTTTAGTTTCATTTAGTTTCCTTTTTTTTTATTTTGTTTTTTTTTTTTTTTTTTTTTTTTTTTTTTTTTTTTTTTTTTTTTTTTTTTTTTTTTTTTTTTTTTTTTTTT